ATTTTTATTTTTTTGGGTACTCAACTCACACCATTTCTTGCAAGGCCTGCGCTTCGAAAAACACGATGGGCGAGGCCACACGACCCACCTGGCTCGCAGCGCGGGCCAGAAGCGCAGGCAGGTCATCGACGGGCACGGACTCGATCTCGTCTTCTTCGTCATCCTCCTCGCCACGGGTTCCGTTCTCATTCTCATTGTCATTGTCGTCATCATCGTCGGCCGCCTGGTCGGCGACGAACCGATCGACGACCAGTTCGCTTCCGTTGTTGTCTTCGGCGAATTCCTCCTGCGTGGGCAGCGAGCGATGGGCGTGGCGCGCTGATGATGATGATGACAACGACGACGACGACGACGGAGCACCGGCGCCACAAGTGCGGCGTCGTCGGGTGAAGAGGAGGTCGAAGAGGGCCGACGAGGCCGAGAAGCGGGGCAGGTAGAGCAGGAGGCCCAGCTGCAGCAGGGCCAAACCGAAGAGGGGCGCCTGCATGAGCTCGACCCCGATCAGCCGGAAGCGCAGGTCCCACGTCTGGTCGTTCAGCAGCACCACGCGCCACATTCCTGCCATTCCACATCACGCGTGTTGTTTGTGTCAGCGCACTACACACACCGCACAACACGACAACGACACACCGCACGCACACATGCACGCACGCACACGCACACACAGGATAAGAGAGTGCGGACCAGGGAGGAGGAAGACGCCGTAGCAGCCCTCGAGGGCCTTGATGACGACCATGCCCATCACGGCGACGAGCAGCGTGTAGTGTGCAAACAGATAGCGCTCGACCACCATGGCCGCCTGCAATCGCATTCACCACCATCAGACACGACGCCAAAACGACACAATACGCACACCGACGCACACCGACGCACACGACACACGACATACGACACACACGATGCGAGTTGGTGTACCTGGTAGGCGGCGGAGCAGCTGCAGCGGAGAGTGCTGCGGAAGGAGGTCTTCCAGCCGCCCGGCCACTGGTGGTGATCTCCGCCCGGAGTGAGTGAGGACGAGGGGTACAGCTGATAGACCAGCACCTGCGGCGCCATCGACAACAGGCCCGCCCCCGCCACCAGCGCCGTCTCGTGCACGCTGGCGTACATCGCACGCGCGATGAGTTGCTTCCTATGCGTGTGTGCGGCGTGTGTCGTTGTGTGCGGGTACCAATCGGCGGCGCGGAGTCGGCGGATGGTGCGGTAGACGACGACGAAGGAGTGGAGGTGGGCGAGGATGAGGAACACGAACACGCTCATCACCGGAATGAGGGCCAGATAGAGGTAGGCGTCCACGTCAAAGTTCCACAGCGTAAAGTCCCAATCGTTGCCCTGTGTGTGTGTGTGTGTGTGTGTGTGTGTGTGTGATATGTGTCATCCATGTGTCATGTGCGGTTGTGTGTGTGTGTGTGTGTGTTGTGTGTGTGTGTGTGTGTGTGTGTTGTGTGTGTGTGTGTGTGTGTGTGTGTGTGTGTGTGTGTTGTGTGTGTGTGTGTGTTGTGTGTTGTGTGGTGCGAACTATACCTGTTGCTTGCAATAGAGGACGACGGCCACAATGTTGATCAGGTAGTAGGTGCCCACGACGACGAAGCTGCCGAGCAGGGCCTGCATGTCCTGCGCCGCCTCCGAGCCCGCGGTGTCGCGTTCCGCTGCGTCGTTCAGCTCCGCCACCACCACCACCGAGCCGTCGTCGTCCACCTCCTCCAGCGCCGATAGCCCATCGCCCATCCCTGCATCATTGTCATCGTCACCATTACCCCATCATCATCATCATCATCATCATCATCATCATCATCATCATCATCATCATCATCATCATATCTATCGTCAGGCTTGTACCGTTGATGGTCAGCGGCCGGCGGAGGCCTCGGCGAGCGAGTGCGCGGCCCGCGCGGATGAGGCGCCTGGCCAGCGGCACCGCGCCGGCGCGCCACACGTACGCAGGGATGGCGCGCGGGTTGGCCAGCGAGTAACGCTGGACGAGGCCCAGCACCAGACCCAGCGCGACCAGGGTGACGCCCAGGTTGATCAGCACGTTGCGGGTCACGCGCGCCTCGAGCTCGTCGTCGCGGTTGGCATACCAGGCGCGCAGCAGGTGGTTGGCCTTGGCCTTGTAGCATTCCACGCGTGCCTCGGGCGTCGCGGTCGTTGCTGACGTCATGCAGTCGTCCGTCGTCGTGTCAGAGACAGAGTAGTTTAAGGTGGCGGTGAGCGGCCCCATGTCGACGTCGAGCACCTGGAGGAGCTCGTAGACGAGGGCCTTCTTCTGTAGGAAGAGGTCGCGGTAGACGGCCTCGCGGTGGTGCGGGTCGGCGACCAGGAGGTGGTCGATGACCTCCTCGACCACGAGGCCCAGGCTCTGGCGCGGCAGCGGAATGCCAAGCAGGCCGCACACGGTGCCGACCACGGCCAGGTTGCTCTGCGCCCGCTCGGCGCTCAGGCCGTAGGTCAGTGTCGACGTCGCGGCCTGGTTTGCGACGATGTCATCGTCAGTGTCGACGTCACCGGCCGATCGCTTGGCGCCTTCGTAATTGGCCGAATCGTCGCCGCCGCCGTCGGACCCGCCGATGGGCAGCTTGGGCTCGGGCAGGTCGCTCTTGTCCGACTCGGCCGGCGGGTAGTCCACCTTGACGCCCTTGCCCAGGCCGCTCCCGCGCTGGTACACGATCAGCGGAATCGCCTTCAACTGCGGGTGAGTGCCTACACCGCGCCGACGACATATTACCAACCGCGGATCAGGAAAAGCTTGAAATAAATACGCACGCACGCACGCACGCACGCACGCACTGCACATGACACAACGAATGGCGCACCTCCGTGACCGCCGCGGTCGATATGGCCGTGATCGGAGGTGATGACGAGCGTGGTCTCGTTGTCGAGGAGGTCCACCAGACGGGTCAAGACCTGTGTCGTGTTGCTGATTGCCTGGTCACGATACAACGGCGTCAAAATTTCACTCACACATACTCACACACACAACACACACACTCCCATCACGTGCGCTTTCCGCACACGAGACACACACACACACACACACACACAAGGAGAGTACCTTCTGGTAGGTGTTATAGGGGTTGTAGTCGGTGGTGA